TGTTAATTTCTCGCCAATTAAGGCCCACGGGCATTTACACCAGCAGAGCACAGCGTGTTGCACACAGCCACCGTAAGCGTACCTTGATTCCTGCCACCGGTACCTCGTTTACGTTGCCACGCCAAGGCAGCGCAGGAACGCACGGCACACAGCTATAGTCCGTCATGCTTTGGCATTTGTGGCCCATCCACGTGTTTATAGGATGACATCAGCAGCGTGCACATTAGCACACGGTCCCTTGGCAGTGCAAACTGAGGCCCCAGAACATCACGTCTCCACCATTAAGGTGGGGCTACTCCAGGGATCCAGTTACACGCGTGTCTTGCTTAACATGTGCACTGCATGTGTGCCAGGAGGGAAAAAAAAGAAAGAACACTTGCATTCTTGCACGAGGCATTTGCACTTAATAATATAAAATTAGCTGTGAAATTTCCTGTTTTCCATACACCCCTGTGTTCAGTAATGTAGAGATATATTAACCCTGTCTAATTCTAGTCCCACTCTATTTTACATTTTTCATTATCACAATTAGACATTAGACCATTTAAATGCTATCGGATTTACTTTTTAAGCTATTTAATTCATTCGGATACATTTAAAAATGCAATGCACTACAGGTTCAGTATACCATAAAAGGAAATTCTGGTGTCTGGACTTACAGAATAAATTAATTTAATAGCTACATGCACTGCATTGCATGTGCCTAAAATGACGTGCTGTCAGTTGTAATCTGGTTGTAACATGACAGCCATTATTAATCAGCCTAATGACAATAAGGACTCTATGCAGCCTATTTCCTGAGAGCATCTTCTGTCCTGTCCTATCTTGTCCTACTCTGTCCTGTCCGGTCCTGCCCTGTCCTGTCCGGTCCTGCCCTGTCCTGCCCTGTCCTGTCCGGTCCTGCCCTGTCCTGTCCAGTCCTGCCCTGTCCGGTCCAGTCCTGGCCTGTCCTGCCCAGCCCTGCCCAGTCCGGTCCTGCCCTTTCCATTAAAGCGTACATTCCAGAGAGAAGAGTCAGCCAGTATCCCTGGAGCAATTGGGGTTAAGGACCTTACTCAAGGGCCCAATTGTGACATCGCTCTGCCAGCGATGGGATTTGAATCAGCAACCTTACAATCACGTGCATAAGAGTCTTAACCTGCCTCCTTAGAAAACATGTTATAAAATGAATTATAAATTAATATAAATTTATTTGCTTTTATTCAGTTGCACTACAAAACCTTGCTTTTGCGATTAATTGTAAAAAATACAAAAAAAGACAGCTCACTGCATAATCAAATACCTGGAACACAAGGATGTTCTTATGACTGAAACAGAGAGCCCCTTTCCTGAAGCAGAGGAACTGCCACATTAGTGAGCAGGCTTACATTCTGTTTAGACAAGCAGTAAGCATGGAAACATAGCGGTGGATTTACGCTACTTGTATGAGGGCGGAGCCCATTCTGAAGCTCTACCGCTTTCACATTCCGGTTCATGCTTAGCTTAACATATCTGAGTGCAACCTGCGACTGAAATGATGGGACACTGATCTGGGCATGGCAGCTGAAACCAAACAGAGTGCCACTTGCTTTCAATCAAGACAAGGTATTCATTGGAGCCCGGTTTGAAAGCTTTTGAGCTTGGCATTTGAAGGCCGAGTTGGAGATATTTTCCCACTGGTGCAAGAAGTGGGTTCACTCCAGTCCATCCACACAGTGCTCATTGAAGCCAGCTCCATGGGCTTCACCGTCACCCTCACACCACCTTGGCCCTCACAAAGAGGCCTCAGTGTGCCCGTGCACGGTGAACTCACCGCTCTGTAATTGGGCAGTTTTGACTGGCTAACCGCCTGGTTCCTAATCATAGGACGGACCAAACCATCCCCCGAGCCTTCTCTTATACCGCCTCCATCGCCAGCCCCCTTGCCACTGACCAATGGTAACGTCCGACTTTCTGCTTTGAAGCCGGTTTTCAAAAACTAATTCCATTTCAACTAACTGAATAGCCCTTGAGCACTACAGTCACCATGGACAGTATCTTGACAGGATATTAGTTGAACATGATAAAAACTCTAACATCATTTCATGAGGGTCCATTACATTCAGTTGTTGTCCCAACAGATTGATAAAACAGCCAAAAAGTGAGCTGTATTCTTTGTCAGGAGGCACAATCTCACTTGACTTCAGCACAGGACACATTTAGAGTGCTCTTCATAGTGAACTGCTGCAAAACTGCAGAAATATCCCTCACACACCTTGAACAATAAGCATTTTAGCCATGCAGTGACAAGTTGATCAATGGAAGAAGGTGTTTAGATTCCATTATATTCCTCAGCCACTGCACCAAAATCCTTCCACCATGAAGAACTGCCATCAGGATGAAAAAGAATACTATCTCAGCTATCATTGTAGCTCAATAATGAAATCTCCCAGATAGTGGACAACAGGGTCTGCTAACTAAAGAAATGTAAATGCTGCCCTGATTTGTCAGCAAATTAAATAACACTCAAGATTAGGTTGTACACTATAGCCCTGTAGAGTCATACCAAGTAAAGAAATCCTTCACACTCACACTAGAACATCTAGGCATTATCAGCATAATCCAATAAACCTCAGGACAAAGCATCTTAGAAAGCACAAGTTGGAGATGTTCCCAGGCAGTGATAGCCCCTTACGTAGGGTGTGTTCCTCCCTCATCATATGGCTACCCCCTACTTCTCCCACCCGTTCACACATCCTGAGGAAGGCCTGTCGTTGGCACAAAGTGGTGGCACATAGGCTTTGGTCTAATGACAGGAACTGGTGAATCATGACATTCAGTATGGTTTCTAATCCCTTTAAGCATCACGTTCCATTCATCCATATGGCACTGCAAGGAAAAAAGAAAAACATCTAATGATTCCAATTACATCTTCAGTAATTGGGCTCGTGATCATCTACAATGTACCCCCCCCCCCCCCCAAAAAAAAAAAAAAAAAAAAAAAAAAAAAAAAAAAAAAAGGGGGGGTGCTTTTTTTTGGGGGGGGGGGGGGGGGGTGCTAACATTAACTCAAACAATCACTCACTATGGGCAATTTAAAGTTACACAACCCAATGGCAGCACTTAGGGCAAACGAACACATACAGAGAGGAGAACACACAGATTCTGCACATCCAGAGCTGCTCTGAGGAAACACTACCTACCTACCTACAAAAAAAGAGAAAAAAAGTTATAATTTTGTCATCCATTCATCCAGTGCCGGTATATAACAAGCCTGAAGACCATCCCAGAAAGCAGAGGGCATGGCGACAGCCCTGAGGGGACAGACACCTGCATCCTTCAAAGGGCACAGTAGAGGATTTCCAAAGGAAATCCATGCCAACTTCGGGACGATGTGCAAACTGCAACCATACAGAGCTGTGGCTGGTATCCAACACGCTACACTGAAGATATTACACACGATTCTACAGTGGAAATGAAAAACAACTTATTAAAATAAGTATTTACAATAAAAATGAATAAATTTGTTAAATACTGGAGCTATTTTATTATTGGCATCATGGAAAACTAATAAAGTTAGCTGGCTTACAAAGAATATATATTATATATGTAAAACAACAGACCAGACACATATTTATGCGGATTATAGAATGGGACATAACAGTTCTCGAAGGAGGCCAGCCCAAGTAATAAACACCCATTTATACAGAGTACTTGCACAAATTCTCTCTCATTCACAGTATATAAATTGTTTAATGATTCATACGGGACTGAATGTACCATTATATTTCTCAAGGTGTAGTGCACAATGCCCTACATTCACAGATCTCAAAGACGGAACCCTTAAATTACATTCAAAAGAGCACCAGATCTGATCAACCACATATTACCCTTCCACTTTACGTCAGATTTGGCATAACTAAGATCACAAATCGGCATCCCAGTCAGATTTTTAGCGGCAGACTTCATAAGTATTTTTAGGTCCTGCTTCAAACCAGTAGATGGCAAACTTAACTCACTTAAGTCCACAAAACGGTTAATTCATGAGGTAAATAAAGAAGTGCATTATTAATTTATGCCATAACACAAGCTTTACCGCCAATATTTATTTAGCCAGCTGTTTCCTCCTGTGCCCTTTCAACTGTATAGAAGCGGGCCTTATGTTAGCGCTCACCAAGCCCATTTGCCCCAGACCTAAGGAACATTTTGTCACTATGTAGGTACTACAAGCAGCCTTTTCACTCGCAGCTACACTTTCGGGCTCCTGCGGCGCTGGACAGTCCCATAATTCATGGAGTATCCACACAAACACACCGCAGAAACAAGTGCTAAGTTATACTAATAATGAATAATGATTAGTTTACAAAAACGACCAGATAAAACATCAGATCCTTTTTCATTGCACTGTGGTAGACTATGCTGCAGTAAAGACAGACAAATAAAGTACACATGTTGTTGAAATCGCAATGACAGTATTCTTTTTGCGCACATATTGATTAACGTCATGTGTATGGAAGTAAACGTTAATTATAAAGAGCCACACAACCCCCCCCCCCACCCAAAAAAACAAGAAAATCAAATTAAATGGGTCCCAGCAGTGAAATTTTTTGAAAATACCCTAACTACACCTACAGTATTCCGAAAAAGGCTACAGCCAGTTCTACTATACACCAGAAGCGCATTAACATAAACACGAGTATTTAACATAAACATAATTTAAAACGTAGGGTATAGTAGTATGTAATAGCCTTAGAAATTATTTCCTTAGTCAAGTTTAATAAAAGCTGACGGAAAACGGAATACAGTGTGATTTTTTTTTAAAAAAATGTGTTTTTTAAATGAATATTGAGTTGTGAACAACTCTGTTCAGTTAGTTATTTGGCATTTAAAACCTTTAGGATATTAGCTACGCCGTTTTCCCAACACATCAACACATTACAGCAAAAAAAAAAAGGCAATGTACAGTTTTGTCTGTTTAAAGATATCCTCCTTTAACCCGAAATGAGATGGCTAGGTTTATTATAAGGACTTGCGGTGCTCACCTTGTGAAAGTTGCACGTTGAGGGTCAGACTGATCCCGAAAGCAGGCATTGAGTAAGAGGAGAAGTCCTCCTTCCCCACAGACTCAGGGGGAGGGACCACGTCAGGAGTCAAGCATCAAGAAATTATTGTATATATAAAAAACTGCTCTAAGTCATCCCAAACCGGCGATCCCATTAGGCACCCAGTAAATTTCACACGCAGATCAATGGCTGCTTTTGACTAATGCATTTTACGATTTCTGTTGCTGTTTCCGATGAGCACGCAGGCAGCTCTAGCAAAATACTACTAAATACTACGATCTCATTATGCTAATGAAAGGGCTACGCTGAGCTATAGGCGGGTGGTGTCTCAGTCTGCAGATGGGAATACTGCGAAATATATATATACTGTACACTAGACGCTCTGATGACAAAATAATGACAAATACAACCAAACGGTAACTTAATAAAAGGTAAATCGACTTATAATGAGTGACTAGTAAACTAGCAATTATATCACACGTGTTATATATAGCGATCGTGTTTAACTGCAATGGGAGGGGTTTAGTGAAAGTTTAAACCTACGATTTCTGTGTGTGTGTGTGTGTGTGTGTGTGTTGGGGGATACGGGTGCTTCTGTCTAGTGGTATCTAATTTTGCTATCTTGTGTAGACAACTGTCCCCACCAGATAGCAGATCAAGAAAAAAGCAGGTATCTTACGGAAATCCTACCCCAAACAACTTAATCTGCTTTTTGTGTAAAACTTTTTTGTTTGTTTCCAGTGTTTCATCTGTTTCTGACTATTAGTGCCTTGGGGTTGGAGGTATTTAACTACATTAAAACGGGAATCAACAGGAAATCCGCACAATTAGAGCTGCGCCTAACCTGTATTTGCGGGCTGGACGAGACGGGTGGGCTACATATATAGGCTAGCTAGTAGGCTATTACATTATAGGTGCAGGAATAATATTCTGGAATAGCGACTATTCTAAAAGCTTTCCTCAGCTCTAAAAAGTGTTTATGAGATTTCATTATTTCACAATTTCGTTATATTCACGCCATAAAACCATAAAAAAATATATATTTTACAACCGGGATTTCAGAAACACTACGTCACCGCTGTGCATCAGCTGCAAAAACTGCGGTTGTCTTCCTCGGTTTTCACAGCAAGTGGCACTATTGTCTGTTGGATTCATTTTACCCAGCTATGGGAAGAAAACGAAAGAGTAATTTGATTAATTTTAGGCTGAGAATTTTAGCTATTCCCATTCTTCACAGATGCAGTTGTACGGTTTGCTAAATGTTATCAAATAGCAATTAATTAATTAAATATATACAATGAGTAATAATAAACTAAATTAAACTGTACTGGTTTAATAAATTAGGACCGAAAGACCCATTAAAATAGTTAGCAGTTAACCACTGAAAGATCACAGACTAGTAATCTGATTTTATATATAAACGTTTAACTGTTGTTATGTATAGAGTTGCTACAACACTGTGTTAAATGAGCATACCTTATAGTAATCCAGCAAAATAGTTAATATGTGTGGTCATAAGTATGTTTTTTTTTAAGTTTTCTCTTTAAATATGTTTAAGATTATCATGGGTAGGTAACACTTTCCATATATTAATGTTGTAACTCCTTACCATACTAGAACTTCATATTGAGCTTTCATCACTCAATAACGTAGAATGTGCAGAGTATCAATCTGATGCTAAACAGTAGTATTGCACAACAGTAGTATTGCTAAACAGTAGTATTGCCAAAAAAAATTACCCAACATGCAGAACCTGGAAGAAAATGGTGAATTTAGGTTGATTATTATGCGTTATTATCCAGACCAGAGTCACAGGGAGTCTCGGGAAGTACAGGGCGTGAGGGAAGGATGTAGCGTGGAAACGTGGTGAGAAGATGCAAAGTCTACCTGGACGTTTGAGGGTTTCTCCTGAACCAGGGTGGTGTGTGGCCTCCTAAGTTCGATCTCCGTACCTGTGGCAGTAAGGTGCTGGTTCAAATCTCGTGGCTGGCAGAGTGACTCTTATGATCTTGCTGAGGGTCTGAACCAGCACGCATAAAGTTACCAGTGAGTATTCTTAAGTCACACTCCTTCCTTGGCTCTGCGGTCCCAGCCACGGTGTCACATCTCATTGCTGCTTTTTGGATCATGCAGAGAGGAGCTTCCTGTTGGGTTTTTAGTTTCGAGCACTGTAGGTGGGCAGTGACAACACTTCCAGCTGCACCTCGTGGACTAGCTTTTTATGGTACTTAAATTACCTGCTGCTGTTATTAATCTCATAAAGCCATCTGCTTTTCAACTCCATGTATAAGTGGGTGTAATTTCTTGGTCAAGTAATACATATAGATATAAAGCAGCACTTCACCATTTCATGTAATGATCAGTGCTGTGGATTTTCCTAAAATTCTGTAAAATAAGACTGGAGAGATGTTATTTGTAAGCATTTAATGTTATTTGATTCAAAACAATAGAGTAATCTCTGTGTTGTGTTCCTTGTAGTTAAAGTTTCATATCTGTGCATTATGTCTCTAACACATGTAAATTGTTTCATGATGCTGAATTCAGTGCCAATGATATATTATTTTTTATAATCACTGTTTTTATAATTTTGGACACTATGTAATTTTTTTGTATGGAATTGATTTGACATTCATTGCTTCTGTTAAATGCCAAGGACATTTTTTCAATGTTTTATTCTACAAACATCTTAAATAAATGAATGAAAAACTCTGTCCCACCCATAAATCTGTCTCCACAATTATAGCGACTAATAAGACTTAATTACATTCTCATCCGTTGAAAATGTGTTTCTATATTAGACTGTCTTAGCTAGAGTTTTTAAAACCATATTAAAATTATCCATCGTTATCATTTTTATTTGACCACAATATCATTTGTGCTTAAAAATGTGTCCTCTGCCTTGTTACCCATAAAATAATTCAATCAACACAGAGGGTGATTTAAGTCTTTGCCTGAGATCACAAACTCAAAGCATCAGTAAAACAGGGCATAATATTCTTTAAAGGAATTCTTGTTTTTCAGCTGGGTTCTTGTTTCTTTGGCAATAAATGAGAGAGTCCTGTATCTAAGGAATGTTCCATTATAGATAATTCAGAAACAGGCAATGCTTTTGTTTGATTTACGGAGGTCCATGCGATGCAGTCTAAGCAGTCATCAAGGGACTTCATATCATGTACCAGTGATTCCTTCTTTTATAAACTTGTTTTCAAAGCACCATAACTTGAGGTATCAGGTTTTGGAACTCTGGAGCAGTTTACATAACTATTTCTATACACATTCTATGCATCCTTATACTTCTGCATATTCAGCACTTGTAATTTATAACTAAAACAAACAAACAAAGCTGTAAATAAAAACAGTATGAAATATTCAAATGAATCTGACATTTTTGTCTATGGATAATGAAATATTATTTCGGGGAAAGTTGGTAAACATTGTTCTCTGACAGTTATAGCCAGTAGACTAAACTTTGTGTGGGAATGCATATTTATAATTCGTGTACTCTTCTATAAAGAGTCTGTGTTACCATGTAATATTTGATAGTACCTTGAAATACTCAGGGGCCATAAAAAGACTTTACTAAAGAGGGACATGGTCAAATAATGAAAGAGATTCCTGGCAGGGAAAGGCTGCTACACCCACTGTAAACGCTCTGATGCAGCAGCCCCCACCCATCCTCGGTTGCAGCTTCTACAACAGGACAACTGCATGGTATCAGACCGGCAAGTATCGGTCCGTAAACAGCAGAACTGCAGTAATGATATTTTATTGAGCAGAAACAGCAGAATATTTCCTCTAAGTAGCTTCCTGGTAGGTCAACAATAAAACTCCCAGAAAAAATAGGATTCACCGTTAACTGTGAACTTGTCTGTACTGTTCTTCCATGTCTGTACTGTACTATTCCTGTACATGTTAAAGTGCTAAAGGACACAAACAGGGCATTTGTTACTGTTATACCTACGTAAACAGTGGAAAGTGCGGTAAGCTCAATGGCAAGAGTATCAGATAGATGTTCAGTCCTTGCCGAGAAAAAGGAAAATGTGTCAAAACTTTGGTTTTTGTTCTTTTTTTTTAATAAACTAAAAGTAAAAAGGACAATAGAAGACTGTCCCTTTGAGTCCAGGACAGACATTTTAAATCAGCTGATCATATATCCATCCATCCATCCATCCATCCATGTACATACCAACTGCAGATTTACATTCTTTTTCATTGAAATAACCACCATGCAGCCCCTAATTCCATTCAGGTCACAGGGGTTGATTGCCTCTCTCAGGTCACAAAGCCAGGGAAAGCATAAGTGATGAAATGTGTCATCCTGGGCACAGGTCTCAGTGCTTTGCAGAAAGTCATCCAGTGCACGCAGAGACTCAACCTGTTGCTCCAGTGTACGTTCCTCAGGATTACAGAGGAGACGCGCTGTCGTGCGATTGGGCCTGGGATGCTTTAGTGTATACAGCCCCTAGCCTCTGTCTGGTGAGTCACACACTGGGCATTTCAGAGGAGCCAGGTCATCCGGTTACATGCTTTCTGGATGCCAGGAAGAAAGCAGATTATAAGGAGGAAACGGGGGGAGAAGGCCCAGAGCGGGGGCTCGATGTTCACCCTCAGCCCTGGAGGGGGGCTTCCCCCTTCAATCCAAGCCACGTCTGCAGTGAATACACCCCCTCTGACAGACTCCTATCTTGCGCCTTGAGCCTCCGAGGACAGTCGTGTTTGGGGAGACCCACACAACAATGGTATGCACTGGATGAGCGCTTGTGGAAAATGACTGCAGTATATAGTGACAAATAAATAGAAATACAGTTACATGGTAGCATTTATATATCCATTATCTGTAATCAGGTAAGTCACCAAGAAGTCAATAAAAGGTGTAAGGACTCTTCATTGGTTATACTGCACAGTACAGTGGGATCTTACAGCATGAGTATGTACAGTATGCTGTCACGATTAACGATTCGCGCTTCATGTTTGAGTGCCTTATAAACACAACACCTAAGATGTGCTGCAGTATTATATATTTCTTTTAGAAAAATAGATTAGGTGGGTTTGGATGAAGTGAGTGTTTAGGGCTGGAATATTCACAGGGCTGACCAACAAATTTATCACCAGTAGGCAGTAGTCTTAATGATCGCCACATGTCTTATTTTTGGAGAAAAAAAAAATCCATAATTAGTGCGAATGCTAATTTGATTTATCTAGATTCTCCATGAAGGAAGTTGGCAATTAACATCATTAATTGCGGGTCCTTGTACAGCGCCGTCTGGCTGCAGGAATGGATGGCTGTTTGTCTATGCTGGACTACCTCCACCTCCCCATTCCCCACCCCTGTTGCAAGTCTCGACTTTGGTGTTGTGAGCTGTGGTGACTATGTGCTTATTGCTGAGGTGTTTTTTTTCTCTGTTCCTATATTGTACTCCCTACTGGAGTACAGTC